TCTGAAGAGAACACAGCCACTCTGAGATGAGGCTCACAGAATCAATGGGGAAGAGAAAGCCGGTCAGCGAGATTATTCACGCCAGGCCCGGGGGCTAACTTTGTACGGACTCGGTGTTACAGCTTCTCCCGAAGTTTCCTTCCCCACAGCCTCCCAAGGTCTCTTACATCTATTCACGCTGTACAGGTGGGGAAGTAGCAGTCCCAGCAGAGATGGCAGAGACTTGCCCTTGCTCTTTTCAGAGTCCCCTCCCTGTCCCTCAGTTCCACACACGCACTTTGCCCGGAGATGCATCCCATCCGAGGGGCGGGCCCAGGACAGCTCCTGACAGACATGGGCTGGATTTCGGACTATGGACGTTGAATCCCATGCAGAAAGGGCAGGATTCTGGATGGAATCTCGTGTCTGATAGCTGGTGGCTATGGGCTGCACACTTCCCCCCATTAGGTTCCGAATCTATAAGACCAGAAGGTGCTTTTCAAAGTAGGTTCCTAGGCACCCTGGCATCTTATAGAGTTTGGGGCAGGGGTCTGGACACCCGCCCCCCACCCACACACGTAACATCCCTCACCCCCACCCCCACATGCACACCCGGCCAGCTTCAGCTTGAGAAGCTCAGCATGATCTTAGTGTCTGGATGTCAACAAATGATTGTGTTTATCCTCTGACCTGTGTGTGTGTTCTCCATAGCTGACCTCCTGGGAGTCCAGATGTAGGCAACAGGTCTTGGGCTGGGGGAGAAGCCCCCTGGAGGGGCTGGAAGGGAGGGAAGCGGGGCATATGCTTCTGGGCTGTGGGGAAGCCAGGGAGGAAACAGGGCACAGGTCAGAGCTGTAAGAACAGGGAGGGGAGCTGCCGAGATCTGTGGCATCTGCCTCCCCTCCACACCTGGAGAACGTAAACCAACCTTTGGCCACAGCAAGCCTGGGAACCAGGAGCAGCGCCCCCTTTCTGGGGTTGGGCCAGTACCTTGTTCCCCTTTTCTGCGAGGCCTGCTCCTGCTTGTCCTCAGTGGGCACCGGTGACTAGCGGCCAACCGAGGGCCACCCTAACCCGTAATGACTCGGTAGTATACTGCCTCACTGTTCAACTCAGGAGAGCTCCTTACCAGTGGGGTGAGTGGCGAAACAGGGAGGGTAGAGGGAGAGTGGGTAGGAACCGATGACAAGGAACTATATGTGACCTCCTCTCTGGGGGACGGACAACAGAAAAGTGGGTGAAGGGAGACGTCGGACAGGGCAAGAGATGACAAAATAACAGTTTATAAACTATCAAGGGCTCATGAGGGAGGGGGAGTGGGGAGGGAGGGGAAAAATGAGGACCTAATGCCGGGGCTTAAGTGGAGAGCAAATGTTTTGAGAATGATGAGGGCAATGAACATACAAATGCGTTTTACACAATTGATGTGTGTCTGGATTGTGATAAGAGTTGTATGAGCCCCCAAATAAAATGATTTAAAAAAAAAAAAAAAGGAGAGCTCCTTAGAGGACAAAGCTGCCCCGCAAAACCCAGCTGTTCGCGGAGAGAATCCAGATCCCCAAACTCACCCCCACCGAGTCAATGCTGACTCACAGTGACCCCCGTGGGTTTCCGAGACTGACTGCGATGGGAGTAGAAAGCCCAGTCCCAGTCTCTTTCCCAAGGAGCCGCTAGTGGTTTTGAGCTTCGGACCTTGCGGATCACAACCCAACATGTGACCGCTACACCACCAGGCCTCCTCAGGGACTGCTCTTGAAAGCAGCAGCCTCCTGCGGTGGCACCCTCTTATTAGCTGTCCCGGACCACGGCTTTGCCTCGTCTTCCCTGTCATCTGGGCATCGACACACCGTCGTCCCTCTTTGGACGGCTTCCCCAGGCACAGCTCCCGGAATGTCATCTTCCTGATGCCCAGTGGGAAGAGACAGTTGAGGGGACCAGCTGCCCCAGAACTCCCGCTTCTCCCTCCCGGCCAACTCCAGGATTGCCTGACCACCCTCCACCCTCAACCTGCTGCAAGGCCAGGTCTCACCCCGAGGAAGCAAACGCTGCCAGCGGGTTCCTTTGTGGGCCCGCTTCTGTGTGGCACTGGCCAGGAGCTCCACCGTGGGGCAACAGATGGACCCACGGTCTTTGCAGAACAATGGTGGGGGAGGGGTCCTGGCATCTCCAGCCTCAAACAGGAAGCGCTGCATGAGCTTCAAAGGACTGGCAGGGCCAAGGACCTGAGTGGCTGGAGCCAGTGCCAGGACTGACGGCAGCCTGAAGAGTTGTCTGCCAGCCCGGGATGCCCAGCCTGGCCATGGGGGTGGAGCTGTGGTGGCCAGGGCAGCTGAGTGTCCGGCAGAGGAGGCCCTGCACTCAGTTGCCTCTGCTCTGGGAGCAGGTTGGGGAGGGGGCCTTGAACTAGGGGCAGCAGGTTCTTTCCCAGGGCCACAGGCGGGCCTGGCCCTCCAAGCAGGTTACCACGAGGGGCAGGGCTGGCACCACGCCTGCCTCCCAACTCCCTGCCTCCAGCTCCCAGCTGCTCTGCCCAGAGCCTTTTCCTCTGCACTTCCTGTTCACACAGGGGGGGGCGGGAAGTGGAGGGAGGAAGTTGGGGGGAGGCGTGGGGCGGGGGAACCCATTGAATAAAAGGAATTAACCGTTTCCCTCCTCTGACCTCTGGGAATTTCCGCCTGTGAAAATGTCTCGAAGAATCTGCAGAGCTGGGGGGGCGGAGAGGGGGTGTGCCCCTCTTGCCCCACTCCCCCACCCCCGGCAGTTGCCGGTGGGTAGTGGTGGTAGTAGTGCCCGATAACTCCCTCCCTCTGGGGCCCTAGCCTTTTGTTTCCGTGGCGCCAGAGGGGCAGTGCTGGGGGCAGCCTGGAGCCTGGTGGCCTCAGAATCCCCTATCAGTGGGGTTGGTGCCAGTCCTTGATCTTCGACGGGAGCCCTGCGGGCAGGAGAAAGGAACTGTGATAACTGGTGGTCCCAGGGCATGAGCTCACACCCAGTTGGGCCAGGCAGAGCCCTGCGCCCTCCCTGCCAGGACTGGTGCCCTTGGCCAGTCTGCCGTGGGGGACAGGAGAAGGGAAGAAGGGCGTGGGAGCAGGGCCTGGAACATGGGCAGGCCCACCCTGGGTGGCCACTCCCCCAGCCCTGGACTGGAATTGAGCTGGTAAGTTGGGGGAAACCAGTCGACAGCGCCCCCTGGTGACCTTTGCTGACTCGGCTGGGTGGGCCACCCCCCCAGGGCTCTCTCAAGGGCGGGCTCCAGGAAGCACCTGCGCCCCAGGACTAGTGGCCGCCCCTGAGTCTCCCCCAGGTGGCTTCCTTGTTTACAGGCCTCCTGCCCTGGCCCCAGCGTCACTGCCTGTGGCCACTCCTTCTATTTCCAGTGACCGCTCCAGAAGCAGCTCATTCATCTTGGCCCCTGCCCGTGCAGCTGCCCCACACTCCCAGCCCCTGGCCCTCCTCCAGGCTCAGGGCCAAGGCCCCCGAGGGCTTTCTCCCTCCCTGCACCGGCTGCACTTGGTTTCCAGGGATCTGAGAGCTACGGCTTCCCTTTGCCCTGACGCACTGACTCACCGGAACGCCACTCTGTCAGTGCCAGGGAAGCCTCGGGCCTTTTCCAGGAAAGAGGAAGCAGTTTAGGACCAGATGGGCTGGCTTAGGAAGGACAGAAGGGGCAGGGGCGTCCCAGGCTGCCTCAGCCAAGCCCTCTGGGAGGAGGGAGCAGTAGGGCAGTATTTGTTTAACTCACATGTAGTAAGCACCCATTATGTGTGAAGACAGGCGCCCCAAGCTGTTCAATCTAAGCTAGCCACTACCCCAGGGGCAGGCAGGCGCAATGCTCACAGACAATGGGGAACAGAGGGCCCCCAGCCCTCCTCCAGCTTGTGTGGTGGGAGGGGGCTGTGGGTCACAGGGCTGATTGGAGCAGGGAGCAGGGGACCTTCACACCTGCCAGCAAGAGTGGGAAGGGAGAAGGGTAAGATTAGGGTACCCTCCGCCCATCACCCCACATTTACTTCTCTTTGTTTCTGGTGTAGAGGGCAAAGAAGAGGAGTCTTGAGGTTCAGAAAAAAATGGGCAGCTCCTAGGCCTTCCGGTCTGGGGGAGGCCCGAAGACCCTGCTGTTCCAGTGGCTGGGGCACTGGGTGGGGCAAGGTCCAGCCTGAGCCCTGGAAGAGCATGGGAGTGCAGGCTGGGGTAGAAGAAACCAGCCCGGTTGGGTGTGATCCCAGAACACGGTGTTGTTTCCAAGTGGGCAGCCGAGGGACCGCACCCAAAGCGAGCAGTGCCCTGTGGACACCAGCCCAGGGGCAAAGGGTACTCAGCTGATGTCATGGGGTGGCCCCAACTCCTGGCCTCCCTGGGCCTTTGCCACCAACCGCTTTCAGAGTGACACAAGGGGGGGAGGGGTCCCAAAGGTCAGAGCCAAAGAGAAATCATTCTGTGGAACGCCTTAGCAGGCGGCAGTGGCTGCTGTGCCTCTCTGTAGAGCCTCGAGGCTCAAGGGCAGGCGGCAGCATGGAAGTACCGGAGCTGAGCAGGAGCTGGGAAGGCAGGTGCCCAGGTTAGCAAGATGAGGGCAGGTGCAGTCTCACATGCGTCCAGGCTCCCGGGAGGAGTGAGAGAATCATGCAAGGCAGCGGGGAGTCCCCAGGAAATTCGGGGGGGTGGGGGGGACACAAGGGAGCCTCGAAGAGCGCACGTAAAAATCCCGTCTCTTTTCATTCCCTTGTTCATGAGCTGCTTGAAGCCCCTCAGTCGGAAGAAGAGCGAGGGGAAAGTGGCCAGGCGGCTGAGGGTTTTTGTGGGGAGCACCACCACCTGCTGGCCCAAGAGAAGAACAGTCCCTGCGCAAACCCTACGAAGTGAGTAGACTGGCCACTTCATCTGAAGGCCTGGCTTGAAGGCATGGCAGGCCCTGGCAGCCTCCCGTGGCGTGGCGTGGCAGCAGCCCAGCCCAGCCCCCCCCACAGGGCACTCACCATCCTCAGCCCAGCATCCGCACAAAGCCACCACTGCAGTCACAGTGCACTTTGGAGAGTTTAATGCGCCTGCGTGGCTGTCCACCCCTCAGACTGTGGCCCGACCCGGAGCACTGGCCCCACCCCATGCCAGGAGTTCAAGGGCTGACAGGAGATGCTTCCTCTGAGGCCAAAGCTGGTGGTCAGAGGCCTCAGAGAGAAGACAAGGAGGCGCTCACGCTCTGGAAGGTGGTGGGATGTGCATGGGGGCAGGAGGGGCCAAGAGCTGGTAGACACGGGGTGGTTGGGGGTGGGGGGACACGGTGATGGGGTCCGCTCTCGGACTTCCCCAGGTTCATGCCCTCTGTTGGGAAGGAGGTGGGCCGTGGAGGGCTTGGTCTACAGGGGGTAGGGGCAGCTTTGAGGAGCACTCAGCGTGGTCAGATGATGGAGCCTGGACACTGACCCTCGGGGCGCCTCCTACAGCCAGCTGAGCTGCTCCTCCTCGTAGTGCTGGGGGTCGATGAAGGGCCGGTCGATGGAGCGGATCATCAGCTCCCCGCAGTACACGCACTCGGCCGCCACCAGCTCATCCAGGTCGTCCCTGAGCTGCTCCCGGCTGGGGCCCCCAGCCGCCGCCGCGCCCCCCTCCACCTCTTTGGCCCTGGCAGAGCCCTTGGCCGGGGGCGGGGCGGCCCCCAGCTTTCGCTGCAGCTCCTCCAGCCGGGCCTGCTTGTAGGCAGGCAGGCCGGGCCGCACGGCCTGCAGTAGGCAGTCGGCATGGAACATGTGGCCGCAGAGGAAGAGGTAGAAGGGGCGGTTGAGCAGGGGGAAGTCACAGGCGGCGCACTTGTCCTGGGGCTCCACGGTGCCATAGCGGCCGCGAAGCTCCTGCAGGTCTCGCCGGATGCGCTGGGCGCTGGCCGTGGCCTCCTCCATCTCCCGCTGCAGCTCCTGGATGTGGTGGTTGTAGGCCCTGAGCGAGCTGCAGATGGCCTCCTTGAAGTGGTCGATGGTGACGAAGTCGGGGAAGAAGGGAAGCACGTCCTCGATCTTGAGCAGGGGGCAGCTGGCCAGGCAGGCCATGGCCGTCTGGACGTCCTCCTCCTCCTGCACCACGTGCCGCGCGATCTTCAGCCACAGCTTCTTGCGCAGCTCCTCGTCTTCCTCAGGCAGGTCTGCGCACTGCTTGGCCAAGTCCACGTCCACCTGCGGGAGCACACACATGTGCTGGGTCAGCCCCGACCCCAGGAGACAGACAGGGAGAGACGCATACCCCCCCACAACTCGGAGGACTCGAGCTGAGAAGCGGCCCTTTCCCACTCGGGCAGCAAACACGCGTGGAACTCTCGGGGGGCTAGGGCAGGAACCTGTCTTGGTAATGGGCCACAAGGCCCTCCTGTCACAGCTATGGCAAAGCTGCCTGCTGCAGTGGGCCTCCAACCGGGCCCTACTCTCAGCCATTCTGCAACCCAGGCACTGACCTCTTGACTAGCATGTCAGGGGGACCACACGCAAGCCAACGGTGCATGCTCTGCGAAATGTTACGGGAGAGTCAGCTCCTCTCCCCTTCTCTGAGTGACCATCATGCAACAATTGAGGCCTAAGCAGGGACTTCAGCAAGTTCCTGGAAGAATCCCAGGAACTTTTCATTCCATTTCCCCATGAACTTTTTGATGTCCCCACGTATGCAGAACATACCAGCCTTTTCACATATTGGTCTTTAATCCACCCTATGCAGACAGCGGCTTCCCTGAGCCATGGTACAAAGCGTTAATAGACTTGCTTGCTAGCTGCAAGTTCCAACACACCCACAGGCATCTCTCTATGAAGAAAGCCCTGGGAATGTGTTTGCCAAAAATCCTCAGGAAGACCTGATGGGGCACAGTTTGTTTACACTCCCTGGCTGGCTCTGAGTTGGAGCGGGGTAATGACAACTGGTTACCTGGCTTCTTGGGGTCCGACGCACAGCAGCACCCCCACCTGGCAGCTGAACTATCTATAGCACAGAGGTTTGGAAAGTAGCCCGAGGTCACATAGCATAGGAAGCAGCGGGGGCCACAACTCACACCCAACTTCAGTTCAGGCTCTTTGCCCAGCCCTCATCCCCGCCCCCTCCCAACTGACCTGCAGTGCCAGGTCCACAGCCTCCTCGTACAGCTCCAGGACCTTGTAGACGTGGACACAGGCGCGGTGGTGGCCGTGTTCGGCACAGAGCCGTAGAGCGTACTTGAGGTCGTAGTGTACCCGGTGGGGGCTAGCCCCGGCCTGCTCCAGGTAAGCCAGCAGTGAGGCCGCCTGGCCACGGGCGTAGAGTGACAGCAGGTAGTTGTGAATGGCCTGCTCCGTCTCGCCCAGCACGTTCACGCAGAACTCCATGTAGCGGATGGCCTGGCTCACCTGTTGGGCCTCGCCCCCCTGGCTGTAATTCACCAGGGCGGGGATGAGCTGCCGGGCGTCCAGCCGGCTGCCCAGCTCAATCCAGGCGTCCACCAGCTGGCGGGGTATGTGCCGGATGAGGATGGGTGAGAATCTGTAGAAGAGCTGGGGGTCTCGGTGACGCGTGAGTACGGCCAGGGCCTCCTCGTAGGCCTCGTGCTGGCAGTGGTAGGCCACCACCCGCTCGTAGTCCTGCATTATCACGGCAAAGTACACCATGTGCTCTGAGTCCCCATGGCTGGCCAGCAGCTCGTGGATGGAGGCCCGGCTGGCAAAGAGCCACTCCTTGTGGCGGGGGCTGCTGAGGAAGGACCGGAAGCGCTCCCGGGTCTCCCGGTAGACGGCCAAGGCCTCTGGGGCATCCTGCAGAGCCCCAAGCCGGCTGAGATAGAGCTCTGTCAGCCAGGTGGTAAGCAGTGTGGCCTGGGTCCGTTCAGTGGGCTTCAAACCGGCCAGTTTCCGCTGGAGGAACTCGGCCAGCGCCTCCTCCTGCCGGGCCTCCAGGAACTTGAGGGCAATCTCCTCGAAGTAGCTCTGGGTCAGGGCATAGCAGCGGGCACTCTCCAGGTACTGACGCTGGCGAAAGCAGAAATCCGCCTCCCGAGACAGGACTGTATCCAGGCAGTCGGGCCGCTCCCGACAGTACTCTTTGGCCAGGTCGAAGCGGTTCATGTCCAGGTAGGTTCGCCAGACGTCCCGGGCCTCCCGCTGCACGTGGTAGCGGAAGACAGCGCGCTCGGTGTGGGCCCAGAGCTGGCCGGTGGACGAGTCCTTCACCATGTGCTGCAGTGGCCCGAACTTCTCCAGGAAGTGGTCCCGAAGCACCACCTGCCCCGTCAGCGTGCACACCGCCTCCACCCGGTCCACCAGCAGCAGCAGGAAGTGGAACTGGGTCAGGACGATGGCCAGGGGCAGGCTGGCCCCAGGGCCCACCCCCTCTGGGTATTCCCAGACCCGCTCCTCGCTCAGCAAGGAGTCCGGACGCCCGCAGTCCAGCGAGCCGTACAACACCCCGTCCCCCATCATCCAGGCGAAGGCGCGGGGTGCAGAGCGCAGCTTAGGGGTATAGAAGGCCAGCTCGCTGTAACCCAGGTTGCTGGGGAACTCCCGGAACGGGGGTGGGTGGTCGGTGTAGGCTGCAAAGAGCCCAGAGAAGCCCTGAGCCTCGGCCGCCTCGGAGGCTCGGCCTTTGAACTGGAAGAGGCGCTGCCGTGTGGTGGCGATAACGAAGCCGCGGCCGTCGGGGCCCCGCTCGGCTTCCAGGGAGCACACGGGCGCCGGGCCGCCTTCTTCGTTCAGCACATACAGCGGTCGGAAGTAGAGATCTGGGGCAGGGCCAAAGAGCCCACCCTCGCTGGCCGAGAGCTCCGCCTCAAAGATCTGACCTTGGGCAGTGCCCACCAGGATGGGGCCGGTGCTGCTCTCGGTCCCCAGGGCTTTGTTCCAGCCCACGCTCTCCACCAACTGCCCCTTCCAGCGGGCCAGCGGGCGGACCTTCTGTGCATTCCGGTTCACATAGAGGACCTCAGTGCTGTTCAGAGCAATCAGCAGATGTGAACCTGGAACAGGGGGAGAGCAGGGCAACCTAGGGGGATGCTGCCTCTTCCACCCTCAGCCCCCACCACTCTCAGATACAGGAACCCTGCCTGGGGTGTGGCTTGCCCCAGGCCCCGCCCTCAGACCCTCCCCTACTTCTCACCAGTATGGTCCAGGAACATCTTGTGAACCTTGGCGTCATCCTTGCGCCCCAGCTCCACGTGGTTGGGCTCATTTGCCTTGCCCAGGTCAATGCTGAGGAAACCAGGGTCGCTGCGTCACTCTCGAGAAAGGCAGCAGTGGGCCACCTCCCCCGCCCCCCCATGCTTTCAAACCCTTCATTGTAAGGCGAAGGTTTCCTTCTCGTGAGAAGCATCATTTGTCTCTCTGTTTAGCTTTCTCACCGTACTCATGCGTTCACACATTTCATGACTTCCTGCTCGGCAATTAGGAAAGCACCTTAGTCCTGCCCCGGGCACACTCAGCACCACGGAGTCTCCAGACCCTGCTGGCATGCCGTGTGTGTGTGTGTGTGTGTGTGTGTGTGTGTGTTGGAGACCACCTCACGAGAGCTTCAGGTCTCGGAGCACGACCCCGCAAAGTCGGCGTGGGCACACATCCCATGTGGACTTTGGTGCTTTATCAACCTTCTTGGTATAAACGTTCTATTACCAGGGGCTTAGGGACAGCCTAATTTTGTTAAAGGTTGTTATCATAGGCCAGATGCTGAGCGATTTTCAGTGCCTCCACCCAGCAGCTTGACATTCAACAATTCAGAGAGATGTTTCGACCCATCTGTTAGAACCCCTCAATGGACGATCACTTATCCTGCTTCCGCTGTTTCCCGCTTCCATTCCTTTTCCAACCCTCTCAACTTTGTCCTTGGGGAAGTCGGTCCTTTTGATTGCAGATGGCTGGTTAGTCTGAACACTGGGATGAGTTCGGTTCTAGAGCTGCACTTCACTCTCAGGGTCCACCAGTTCCTCTCCGATCTGTGGCTTGACCTCTTTTAGGGTTTTCAGTTCTGTTCCACATCCATCTCCTATCCTATCCAGAACCTCCTATCCTTTCAGGGCAGCTGGGAGTAGCAGCTGGGTACCAACAGATTCATTGTTTCAGTAGTATCTCTTTGGACCCCTCTTTAATAATCTGTTTAATAAAGCTGCGAAAGACATAGCTTTTTGTCCTAAAATCCATAGATGCACTTCTCTCTCTCACACACACACACAAACTCCTACTGAAGAACTTCACCCACTTATTTTTAGAGGTCACCAAACAGAAGTCTCTTCCGGCTGGCAAGGGAGGCCCAGGGCACGGGGAAGACAGGTAAGGGTACCCCAGATTACTGGGGTAAAAACAGAACGACATGATTTCTGAGCACTTTCTATATACCAAAGACCCTGCCAAGAAATTCATCTCTAGTATTGTCTCCATCTGCACGGTAAATCCTGAGGGATGCTTTGTTTATGCACTTTTCTTATTCTTTTTCAAATTATCTGCTCATTCCAATAAGGAATCAATGCAAAGATGTGTAAAGAAAAAGGTCACGATTTTCTTCCTAAATGCTCTCATTCCCAACTCTAAGAGCAACTCCACGCTCACAATGCAAATGGAGTGTCTTGTGTCTGTCGTCACACTGTGTGAACACAGCCTACTGAAGCTCGCTCTCCAAGCTTGAGGACCTCTGGGGAAGAGTCCACCAGCTCACCCAACAGAGCTCAACTCACTGTCATGACACTTATCGCTGGACCTTTGCAAACTAGTGCCTCTTTTTCTTTTTTTAAAATTTATTTATTGGTGCCTCTCTTTCTGTGGGGTGTAGTTCCCAAAGTGGAATTACTGGGCTAGAGTTATAAATATCTGAAAAAGAAACATGACCAGATGACGTTTCCAAAAGATGGTGACAATTTTTTTTTTCAAGATGGTGACAATTTATGCTCTCCGTGGCAATCCATGTGAGTCCACTTCCCTGCATTCCCAGGATTGAATGCTTCTCCTTTCTTTATTTCTAGTGTCACTTTCAATGTTTGTCAATCTAATAGGTTAAAGAAAATAGTACCTTGTTACTATAATTTGCACTTCTCTGAGAGCAAAAATACCTTTATCTGTTTATTGAAAATCTGAGAAGCTAGCGTCTGGGGTCTTAAAGACTTGAAGGTAAACAAGTGGCCATCTAGCTCAGAAGCAACAAAGCCCACATGGAAGAAGCACACCAGCCTATGCGATCACAAGGTGTCGAAGGGATCAGGTACCAGGCATCATCAGAACAAAAAATCTTCCCATAGTGAATGAGGGGAAGTGCGGAGTAGAGACC